AAATGGATACTCTCCTCTCTTCCTTACTGATTTTAAAACCAATTGAATAAAAGAGCGTAATTGTGCTGCTGGAACAATGACATACACACAAGAAATATATCTGATAACATCATCCTAAAGAAGGTGGATGGGAACAAAGCTGTAACACAATAGGGAAATTACACCAGATGGTAACTCAAATCCAGTCCTAGATATATTCCAAAGAGAAATGAGTATGTCCACATAACACCTGTACACAAATGTACACAGTATTTTTCAAAGGAAAAAAATGAAAGCCACCCAAATCCCCACTGATGGATGGAGAAACAAAATGTGGTATGAGGAACTATTATTCATTCATAAAAAAAATACTGGTATATGCTAAAATGTCAATGAACCTTGAAAACCCTATGCTGTGTGAAAGAAGCCAGGGAACAAGAGACCACATACTGTGTGATTCCGCTTGCATGAAATATCCAGATTAGGTAAATCCAGAGACAGAATGGAACAGTCGTTGCCTAGAGCTGGGGCATTCAGGAAAAAATGAGGGACTACTGATGGGTATGGGGTTTCTTTTGGGAATGATGAAAGCTTCTGGCGTTAGTGATGATGGTTGCATAACTGTAAATGTACTAAAAACCACTGAATCATAGACTTTAAATGGGTGAATTATATCTCAATAAAGCTATTAAAAAAAAAAAAGGCACAGTGTGGAGTCTTGACCTGCACGGTATTATTTTGCATTTATTTCTTAAAAACTATATTCAGAGAAATGACAGACAAATCAGCTTATAAGAAAAACAATATAATTTCCTCTGTCTCTGAAAACTTTATGAGGAACCAAATGGTTCCTTTTTAGTAAAAGAGTACCATTTCCTTTTGGGGGTTCCTCCTAGAGAATAAAGGGGTCCCAGGGGCGCCATTAGAGTTGTCCCATAATATATAATAAAATTGAGAAAACATAACCTAGCTCACAGACAGAAGAATACAAAGCCTTTTTTAAATAGTGTCAATCAGGGTACCTGGGTGGCTCAGTTGGTTAAGCATCCAACTCTTGATCTCAATTGAGATCTTGATATCAGGGTTGTAAGTTCAAACCCCACGGCAGCAGGTGGAGGAGAGTCTCTATCATACCTTGTCTAAATACCAACCACCACCCTGGAGCCTCTCCAGATGCCTAGTTCCAGACGCTCGTTTCTGGTCAGTATCTTCCCACAGTCAGTTGTTCCACAGGCTTCTCAAACTCCAACTGGCCAACACAGAACTCATTTTCTGTCCCAAAACACACAAATTCTTCTTCTTGTTGTATTTCTTATCTCAGATAAGGTCATCATGATCTACCCAGTCATACAAGGCAGAAAAAAAAAAAAAAATCAATCTGGACTTGTCCCTCTCCTCCATTTCCAACTCCCAAACATCCTTCAAGTCAAACACCAAATCCTCATCAACTCTACCTAAAAAGTATTTGTTGTACCCTCTCCATCCTCTTCCCACCAGTATGACTTCAAGTCCATCATGCCTCATCGGCTCTACCTCAAGTCTCACCACTCTGGAACGAGACCCCCCGCAGACACCTCCGCCTGGCTAACACTATTGTGGGAACCACTCTTCTACTCTTCTGAAAACATGTGGTTCAAATAAGCACCTTCCTCCACCTAAGCTCCTAGGTGGGACATGTGATCCAGACATGACCAGAGTCTGGATCCACATCTGGATCCACTAGGGATAAGAATGTATCTCAGCCTGGGCCAATCAGTACCTTCCTCTGGACTTCTTACCAAAAAAAAGCGCACATTATTTTTCGCAGAGATCACTGGCTGTGAGAACAACGTACCTTAAACTGGCAGTATTCGTCTCTGCCGCTCCGAGCCTGCTTCAGAGTCCAAACCTCACAAAGAAAGCAAGCTGGGAGACCACGAGCAAGAGACGCTAGTGGTATTTTCCTGAGATCTAACGAAGCCAAAACTTCTTTGTTACATATGCAAGTAAATCCTTTCTTAAAATCAATTCCACTTTGGTTTCTGTTGCCTATCAAGTCCTAACACATTTCTTAACAACGAAATGGAATTCTCTAGCTCCACTAACTAAAATCTTTCAATCATTCTTTATTACTACTAAGGTTAAAGTCCAAGACCTTAAAGTCTACAAATTCTGGCCCCTTGATTATTTGATGGCATAATAATCAACTCTGGCATTGCAAACACCATAAGCAAAGTAAAAAAAAATAAATAAATAAATGACAAACTACAGAGGAGTATCTGCAACTTTTGCCCCAAGGGCTTAGGTTTTTAATATATAAAGTTTCTAAGAAATGGAAAGAAAAAAAGTATTCCTAGAAAAACAAGCAAAACAATGACCATGTGGTTCACAGAATATAAAACTCAAATGGATTTTAAACATAAGAAAACATGCTCAATTTCATTTATGATAAAAGGAAAGAAATTAAAATCACACAAACTTCATTTGCATATATACGGCAAAAACTCAAGTTCTTACAAAATCTCAATGACCAAGGCCATGGAGGAACGGGCAGGCATTCACATAGATTGCTGCCTACAAAAGGGTACAACCCCTGGGAAGAGGAATCCCTTTGGAGACTAAGTGACCCAGCAATCCAGAAGCTTATAACAAAGACACAGTGACAAAAAGACAAACAATTCTATGTACAAGGGTACTCACTGCAACACTATGCAAGGGTAAAAGACTAGAAATTGCCAAATGGCCACCAGTAAAGTCAGAATGAAGAAACCATTCCAGTACTCAGCAGCTAGAAAATGAAGATCTCTACATATTGTTCTTTTTTTCCTATACATTGTTCTTGTGTGACCTCCAAGTATACTACGTTCATATAATAAACAGGGGGAAACGTATCTCAGTATATGTATACCTACTGGTATGTTGTAAAAACACACATACACAGAGATACACTTACACGCACACACTATATACTCAGAAAGATCACACACAAGCACACACACAGATACCGCCTGTATGTGCTTATATTTCAAAAAGTATCAATAGAAGCAAAATTAATTCTAAGATAAATGACCTAGTTTCTTTTAAAAATGCTATTAAAAACAAGAGGGAAATTTACTTTAAAGATGTTCAACCAAATGGGATGTATAGATCTTACATGAATCCCCATCCAAAAAAACCAACTATAAAAAGACACTTAAAAAAAAAAAAAAAACTGAGATAACTAAAGAAAATTGAGTATATACTGGGCATTAGATGGCATAATTTATTGTTAAGCTTGCTGGGCATGATTATGGTACTGCAGTTATATATATTTTTTTAAAGTTTATAACTTTTAATCTAGAAATTTCCCTTGAAAAAAAAAACAGGGGCGCCTGGGTGGCTCAGTGGGTTAAGCCTCTGCCTTCGGCTCAGGTCATGATCTCAGGGTCCTGGGATGGAGTCCCACATCGGGCTCTCTGCTCAGCAGGGACCCTGCTTCCCCCCCTCTCTCTCTGCCTGCCTCTCTGGCTACTTGTGATCTCTGTCAAATAAATAAATAAAATCTTAAAACAAAACGAAACAAAAAAACAACAAAACACTGTTTATTATGTATTTGTCTCACAGAAGTACCCAGGTATCATTTTAAATAATCCTTTATCTCTCGTATTTTTTGTGAACTGATTATTCCGTCTAGAAGCTTATAATTCAGGTTCGATTTCTTCAGCAAGAATATTCCATAGGTGGCATTTTATACTTCTTACATATAGCCCTGTTGCCGAGGATCCCATTCTCCTTTTTGGCCCGACAAACATTTACTTACTCTTTAAAGACTTTAAAGAAAACCTCCGTAACCTCCAGGCCCATACTAAGCTGGCGTCCCCTACTTCCTAATTCAATAGCTAAACCTAATGGCACTGGAACTGCCTACCCCATTGCCCCAGTCAGGCCGGGAACGCCGTTAGCAATGGCCTAGTGTGCAGGACCGGACTCCACGGCGAAGTTCCAGAAAGTAATCTATACCCAGGACAGCAGATCATTGCCTGGTGTCATGGCCCGACCATTCATACCTGGTAGGCAGGCAGCGCAGGGCCAGGATCTCCAGGTAATACGGGAAGTACTAATGTCCAGAAGGGTAAGACCCCTAAGAATATCAAAGGGAGTTTCTGCACCTGGCAGACTCCTTACTATTTGTAAACACTGTCTCCCACAGCTGCACGTCTCAATGGGGAACTTACGGAAGCACTTCCCAAACCGGAATGGGCATTCAAATTGCCCAGAAACCTAATTCAAATGGCAGATTTGGATTCAGCAGGGCTGAAGTGAGGCCCCAGATTCTGCACCCCAGGTGGATGCTGTTGGTCTGAGACTACACTTCCTCCAGTAAGGTTCTGGGAGACCTGAAAGTCAGCCCTCTCTCTGGGAACATCCAGCATTAACTCCTGTCTTACTAATCATCTCTTTAAATCGAACACAGTCTGTGTCATTAAAACAAATAAACAAATCCAAACTTTAATTCTTCTGCACCTGTTGGCATCTTTCTTCTAATATATCCCCCCGTGACAACTCTGTCATCTCTCCTCCATCTACATCTTTCCAGCCTGGAAAATACAGGCCCTCAGTAAATGCTTGTTAAGTCATAGTCTACATAATCTCAACATATTTAATTCTTTCCACTGGCTTCTTGTTAAGATATGTTTGTTCACTGGTCCATCTTTCCCACGTGTTTATCAACCCCTCGAAGGCAGAGACTCTTCCCCTCGCGCGCAGGGTCAGGTCTGGCACGTAAGCAGCATCAGCGGGGTTTGCGAACCAGCCTGATGATGAACACATAAACACGCTACGCCAGGTTCTTGGAAGGAGCCCTGAATACCAACCTCTCCTTTTTCCCGAGGGACTTAAACGCTCACATGTAGGACTTGTTTTCACAAAGGTTTAGTTAACATACACCGAAAAGGATCATCAGCTCTACTTAACAAATAAGAAAATAGCAAAAGAAATTTCTATATTATGCTTCTTCATAGACAACCTCATCAAGATAGGAAAAAACGTTTCACAAAAGGTACCTCCGTCTTCCCACATTCATCAGGCGGATCCTGGTGTATGGCCATTTGATACTTGACATATAAAGAAAATGACTGGCTGAAGGACGACTTGAACTCTGGGTCCTCAAAGGAGACAGGTACTAACCTCACCTTCAGAGCAAGGAAAATACAAGCAAATGCTATTGAAACATCTCTACCCACTGACGTGCTTCTGAAGGTGAGGCTAGAGTAAGATCTCCGCAAATCCACTTCCAAAGCTCAGCGCTGGAGTTTTTCATGAAATGAATTAACCCCGGAATGTGCTGACTGGCCCAGAGCCTAAAGCGCCAACTTTACACTAACACTTAGGAAAATTTTTAACTTCTAAGGGCCAGGACAATTCATTTTTCTTTTGTTTTTTACTCTTTCCACATACCGTGATTCTCTGCAGAGTCAACAGTGTTGCTCATGGTAGTGGCCACTACTTTTGTCCCTCTGCTAGTATTAAGTGTATTAACATTTTTCCCCTTCCACATTTTTCTTGCGTATTCTGATTTATGAAATTACAAGCATATGAGAACTTCTATCAAAATATTATCTCAAAAAAAAATTCTATCTTACTTTTCTAGTCCCACTCAGTTGTGTATGGGGATGACATCAACAAAGTATAATTTAGCTGTCATGAACTCTGTCTACACATGACTTTTAAAAGGAGATAAGGCCTATTAACCATATTGTGCAAATATGCCTATCATAAAAATATAAAGACTTTTTTGTTTTTTCTCATAAATATTTTATCTTAGAGCTCTACTTATTACTAATTTCCAGATAAATACATCCAGACATAGCAATGCTAAAGATAATTCATTTTATGTGCTACTTTCCACTTTGCAATTACGTGTGACTGGCACTTAACATGTCCTAGGTAAAATCTGCACTTTCAGAATGTTCGTTACTCCACACTCCTATCCTTTTGCAGATATGCTGCAAATTGAATATAAATAAAATGTACCACAAATAAATCAAGTTATAATACAATGGTATCAAATGGAGGGGAAAGTTCCATTTGCACAGAAAAATTACACTTGGCCTGCTGACCTGGCTCACAGTTGGTTTATCAGGTGGGTCCTGGTGAATAACCATCTGGTAACGTTTATAGACCTGGTAAGACTCCTGAAATGTGGCTTTGAACTGAGAACTTGGTGGAGATGATCTCACCACCCTCACCTTCAGAAGGAGTTAAAAAACAATGTTCATTAATCATTTATTCCACAGAATACGCATTAACAGTTACTCCCACCCAAAAAGAACCAAAAGTTTCCATACAAATATTAAAGCATGCACATATAATATTTTAACATTACAAATGAACAAGATAGTAAATTTTTCTTTAAAAAGTTATTTCTCCAACTTCCAGACGTATTAAAAAGGCAAAGGATCCTATCTAAACTCTTAAGATTTTTTTCCCCTTTTTTAACATATAATGTATTATTTGTCTCAGGGGTACAGTTCTGAAGACTAAGATCTACGACTGAATTATGGAAGATTGACTCTACTGGAAAATGGCAGAACACTTCTGGCACTCAAGACACAAACACAAATAAATACTCTTGAATTCTAGTTGTATGGAACGCACCTTCAGTAAATCATTCAGAGTCCAGAGTGCTAACCATTACACTATGGAACCCCACTCAGTAAATCATTCAGAAAAACTAAAAATGTGAATATATTTTTTAGACATTCTTTATGCGTCTCTGCTAACTCTAAACTTGCAATTTTTTTTGTAAGTGTGAAAGACAATCCTCAGAAAGTATTCCTATTTCGTGGTGTAGTTAAGAACGAAGACCCTAAAGTTAGATTTCTTTTACTCAAATTTTCATGTCACCATCTTGGTCAAGCAGACAAATTTACCTCTCTGTGCCTTGGTTTTCTCACACACAAAATGAGGATGAGTTTACAACAGTAGTGGCACAGTAATGGTGAACACTTATTTTAATAGTGATTATTTACTAACCAGTTAAAATGTGTTAGCAAAACAGAATAGTCAAACAGGAAATCGAATGCAATATAACAAAAAAGCTAACTGGAAAATTTTCACGTGTGCCGTAAGAAGTAATTCTTCTGCCAACAAAGAGTAATATAAACACCCGGTGGACAAAAAACCTCTGCCCATCCAAGGTATCATTACATTAAAAAAGTAAAACCTGCCTATTTGTAGAGCTGCTGTTCTACACTCTAAGTAGCGCGTCCAATTCTCTTTACGATTTGAGAAGGAGAAAGTCAATACCAAAATCAGAGCAGCTAAGGGATTATAATCTCAAAGTTGTTAAGATTTCTGTCTGATAATATACATGATCCTAAGGTTTAGATTCCGTTAAAGTTAATTTTCAATATCAGGTCCTTCGCAAAGCTCTCAGATAGTATTAAGCTACAAATTCAAAGGCTGACCCCGTTATTTATGAGATACGAAAATATAATAAAATCATTACAATTAATATTTTGGGGGAAAATGTATAAATACCAAATACTGAAGAATGTAGATTTAATCTGCAATGTAAATAAAAATAGTAGGAATACTCTAGAAGTAATCATACTATGCCTACAGAGGTTTGAGAGAATAACTGAGAGAAGATTAAAGTAGTGCCACCGAGTACTATTTGGTCAATTCCTAACTGCTGGCTGGCACATGTACTACATCTGTTTACCCACTAGAATGGGTAAAACAGTGATCTGCTGATGTGATCTATTCTCCTTCACGATTGAACCAAACTGCTAAAAATGAAATTTTAAATGGCATATTCTGTCCCTTTAACTACTAGATATCAATTAAGGGATACAATAAGCCAGAGTCCCTTACATAGTAACATGCTAAAACTGGAATTATTTTCACAACTTTAGTAGCCAAACTGCCTAAAGTATTTATTTTAAATCTTAAAAAGTTTTCTCAAATAGCAGTTAACTTAGTAAATACAAATGCTACTTCATCCCAATTCACTGTAATTTCCCATTATTTAAATAATAAAATATCAACTGAGTAGTATAACCTCAAATGAAAATAAACAAGATATCAACAACCACAAAAATATAAAATAAAACACCCTTCAAAGTACCTCTAACTTGTGTGATGCATTCTCTGGTAAAGATTCAAAAATTAAATCTTCAAGTGATTTGGGCTGGTTGGATTTATTAGCCTTTGGTCGGAACAAAGATGGTGGTTCACCTTGAGCCTGGAAACCCTCAAGTTCTCCAGCTGGGTTCTGCTGCATGAGTTTTAACCTTTTCCTTTCTTTTCGGATTTCCTTTGCTTTCCGACATGGAGGCTTACTCAAATCTGCCCCTTTGCCTAAAAACAATTGCAAAATATTAGACCAATCACATCTGACTCTAGAATTTTTTTGTTTTTACCCAAAGTCTCAAAGATTCTACAGAATTAAATCTAAAGAGTTCCAACAGTTAGGTTAGCTTTGTAGGTAGGTATCTCAGAAGATTCTGATGTAGAGACTTAAGTTGATCTTAAAATTCTACCTTAGATGTAGGAACTGTCAAAGAAAGTAAATAGTCACAGAAACTTTTCACACACCTCTATGAAAATAAAATTTAAAAAAATTTTAATATTCATCCACTTTTCTCCCTTTTTAAGTTGAAAAAAACATAATCAAATATCTTCTACTCTAGGACATGGATATTTCCAGCCCATTCCTGAGGGACATTCCTCTCAAAGCACTGGTGACATAAATACATGCTTAGGACCTGGGTGTAAGAAAACACTCCGGCAGGTTTTTTGATGAAAAAATATCCTTGAAATTACTTTGTAGTGCTTGTGTCTCTCCATCTAACAAATGGATGGGGTCTCATTTGTTCAGCTCCAGTTAATGAGTGTTGTTTGAATTAAAAGAGCAAATACCAAATTAAAAGGCCTTTAAGATATAAACATTTTAGATAAAATAAACCACAAATTTTAGTAAGTGCCCTTTCATTTAGCAGAGTCTTCAAGGACCTGATGTTGAGAAGATCATTAAGAGGTAGAGGCAAATAACTAACACAAATGAAAACTTCAAAATAATTTAAATGCCCAATACCAGAATAAGTCTACAATTTTTAAAACAGCTAAAACACAGAATACCAGTCATTAGAAATGCTTAGAAATTTTCAGGGATTTGTCATTACACAAGGTTAAAAAACAATTCCACTTATGTATAAATAGATACATGAAAAATACTTTTTAAAAAGCCTAGAAAGGAACATAGCAGTCATTTTACATGGGTTTAGAATCAGGGAAAGGACTGTTCTTGTTTTTTTTCTTGCAATGTCCTCTTTTCTGCAAATTCTCTACAATGAACATATTTTTGTAATTTTTTTAAGGTCATTGACAAAATAAAAATGCTATTTTAAGATCCTAAAACAGTATTTACAAATCATATGAAAGTTCGCAATATGAAGTTCTACAAGATTAGCAAGTTCAATTTTATAGAAAAGAAATTCAAGATCCAGGGTGTTAAGGGACTTCCAGAGACCAAGAGCTGGTCAAAAGAAACGAATCTGATACTGGATGCCTGGGTGGCTCAGTTGGTTGAGCGTCTGGCACTTAATTTCGGCTCAAGTCATGATCTCAGGGTCATGAGATGGAGTCCCGGATATGGCTTCATGCTCAGCATGGAGTCGGCTTGGGATTTTCCCTCTCCTTCTGTCCCTTTCCCCGCTCACGCACGTTCGCTCTCTCAAATACATAATAATCTTATTTAAAAAACAAAATTTGATGAGAAAATAGTGACTTCACTAATAGTAAAATCATTTTACTTCACTATCATGTTTTCCAATTAAAAACAAACTTTACATATAAAAACAGACTTTGAATAAGTCTAATAACCAGGCAACAAAGGACTGAATCTATAATTAACCATTACTCTATTGCCTTAGAGAATGAAGTTAGGGCTGCCTTCGACTCGGGCATGATCCCAGAATCCTGCGACTGAGCCCCATGTCAGGCTCCCCACTCAGCGGGGACTCTGCTTCTCCCTCTGCCCTTCCTCCCCACTTGTGCATGCTCTTTCTCCCTCTCTCTCTCACACACAAATAAATAAATAAAATCTTTTTTAAAAACCCCACTATTTCATTAGGATTATCTATTATTAGCTATCATATGCACCACCAATTCCTACAATGTTTTACCTATACAGGTGTCCCATAAATTGTAATAAGGCAAAAACCAACAAACACACAAACGAAATCCCTGCATTTTCTAAAAGTTATTTAAAACTACATTCCCTACCAAAGTTTCAAAACTATGAACAAATTATAAAACTGGAGTGAAGTGAGAAACAAGTTTTCAGCTTTTTTTTTTTTTTTTCCCAGAAATACCACCTATGTCAGCTCCACACTAATTAATTCATTGGACTAAGTAAACAATACTTACTGTGGTTGCTTTAGTCTACACATATGTACTATTGCATTACCAACTGCAATAGACAGCAAATTGGGATTTCAGCTTATTTAGGGGATAAAGATTTCCCCAGATCAGTAAAATCCTTCAAGAGAATGGGAACAGATCAATATAAAATCAATACACCATACCAACCCCACATCACAGAGGCTCACACCACTCAAGGATCCTAGATTAGTCCCAAGAGTTTTGAATAGAGTTCAACAGACCTGCATAATTTCTAATTACATTTCAGGAAATATACTTTTAACATTTTTAAAATAAAAAGGCAATGCATGCTTCAGGAGAAAATCCAGAGATTCCTACATTTTAAAATCATCTCACATTTTTAATGAGAAATATCATAAAGGGAAAATAACGGCAAACTTTTTTTTTTTTACTGTTTTAATAATCACATGCTGAAGATCAGACTGGAATTGTTATTCTAAAAGTTTGTGATAGATAGAGTAAAGCATGTGGGTAACTGCAATATTCTAATTCTAATTCTACCATTATCTGTGTCCTTGAGAACGAGATTTCTCAGTGTGGAAGAAAAGAAGATCTAAATGTCAAACAAACATGTAAAAATATGATAGTCCTGAATTTGAACTGCAAGTATCAATATGGTACATACTCCTTGGAGAAATGGCTGTACAAGATGATCCAGGAGCCTCAGGTCAGAGGAAGCTGCCATGACTACTACCATTTCATCCCCCGAAAAACTAGAAGGCAACTTAGAGAAATTTCCACAGGAGCAAAGAATTAAGACACAGCCAATGTGTTTAGATCCATGAGTTCACAATGATACCAGAAATAAACAAAGAAAGAAAGAAAAGAAAAAAAAAGAAAGAAAGATTGATTAGTCACTGTTAGAAGAGTTATTTTGTAGGATGGACAATAAAATTCAAGAATCAAGCATTCCTCTTGCCTTTCTGAGTTCCGTGAGAAAGAGATGAGAAGAGGTTCTATTTATGGAAGCATCTAGCCAGTAAATGAAAAATGAATGACAGACAGAATATCTAATGGATCAATGGATTTAGGCATTGAGCACTGACCCATGGCTATTCGCATTAACAAAGAGAGGTACCCAGACATTATGTGTCTCCTGAAAGAACCTCCCACCACCCATGAAGTAACCTTACCCCCCTCAAATAAATAATTTGAACTAGAAATCTGATTAAGACTTCTCTCTCTCCCTGAAAAGCAAAACAAAACTGAAACACCAAAACAAAACAAACAAACAAAAAAAAATACAATTTAATCTTAACTCTGAACTGATTTAATCTTGACTCTCTAGATCCAACCATCAATTTACAGGCAGGTAAAGGAGTATGTTAAACTGCACTGTGGATGTAATCAGACAACCCGGAACAGCCAACCTAGTTTCTTCAAAAAACAAAGTGCAAATAAAAAAGTGGGAGTGATGGAAGGTACCTACAGATCTACAGGGGTTTTCTAACTGTGTCAGTCAACTGCAGTATGTGGCTGTGTTTGGATCCTGATGCAAACAAATACATAAAAATTAAGAACTCGAACACAGACTATTCAATAACAGTAAGGAATCTTACTCAGGTGTAATGGTAGTACTTGTGTATTTGAAAATTATTTTTTTAAAAGATGTATTTAAGATTTCTTTTTTTTTTTTAAGTTTTTATTTATTTATTTGACAGAGATCACAGGTAGGCAGAGAGGCAGAGAGAGAGGAGGAAGCAGGCTCCCCACTGAGCAGAGAGCCCAATGCGGGGCTCGATCCCAGGACCCTGGGATCATGATCTGGGCCGAAGGCAGAGGCTTTAACCCACTGAGCCACCCAGGCGCCCCTAAAGATATATTTATTTGAGAGAGAGAGAGAGAGAGAGAGAACGCTCGCAGATGTGAGTGGGGAGAAGGACAGAGGAAGAGAATCTCAAGCAGACTCCCCACGGCACGTGGAGCTGGAGTCAAGGCTTGATCTCACAACCCATGAGATTATGACCTGACCTGAAATCGTGAGGGGGATGCTTAACCGACTGAGCTACATGGGTGCCCCAAAAGTTCTTATCTTTTAGGAATGCATTCTGACATATGGGATGACATAATGTCTGGAATTTGCTTCAATACAGTACTGGAGAGGGCAACTGGATGGGAGTACAGATGACACAAGAGTGCCCATCCTGAGTCAGTAACAGTGTCACACGAGAACAGGGTACGTGGAAGTTCATTATAATATTCAGTCTACGTTTCCAAAATGAAGGTTTTTAAAATTTAAGAAACTGTAAGTAGTCTTTATAATAAACAATTAAAATAATAAAAGAACTGACCCTATCACCCAAGAGAATAAGAGTTGAAAGAAATTATCTAAATCCTTCAGAACATTTTATTGGACTAATCTTACTAATTAAGATGAAATCTCAGCTGGCATCCCTTTAAACGTCATGAAAGCCTACGTTAAGAAAAACTATATATGAAAAACGCAAACACACACTTTTCTGTATAGTAACATGATTTAGATAAGGAAAACTAAAATAGTAATAAAAATGTCTCCTTTGGGTCATTTTATATAAATAAATATAAGAAAAAACTCAGGAACTGAAGTATAACCATCCAGACTGACATTTTGTGAAATAATTTTTTTAAAAAATGAGGGGCACCTGGGTCACTCAGTGGGTTAAGCCTCTGAGCAGAGAGCCTGCTTCCCCTTCCCTCTCTGCCTGCCTCTCTGCCTACTTGTGATCTCTCTGCCAAAAAAATAAATAAAATCATTTAAAAATAAGTAAATAAAAATCATACAAACACATGCATGCACACATATATATAACAAACCCATTTAATGCTGGATACATTATTTTTACAAAGATTTATTTGAGAGAGAGAGAAAGGGACGGAGGGATAGAAAGACTCTCCAAAAGACTCTGAGCTGAACCCAGAGCCAGACATGGGGCTTGATCCCAGGACTAAGAGATCATGACCCGAACCGAAACCAAGAGTCAGACACGTAAACTGAGCCACCCAGGTGCCTCAATGTTGGATACATTTTTAAAACCTAATTCTTTTACAAGTGAAAATATAGAAAAAAATTGTTGACCTTATTAAAGGTGAAGTTAAATATCAAAATTTGGAAATTTTTAAACTAAAATTCATCATGATTCATAAAGAAATCTAATGATAAACTAAAGAACTTTAATGTCTGTACTTTTCAATGTAATACCTAAAATTTACGTTGTCTCACTTCACACCAAAAATAAAAACGTTTAGCAGCATATCTTTTCACAGATAAAATTTGATTCTCAAACCTCTAGGATCCTAAGGTAGTAAGAAGAAATGGAACTCTTTTAAAATATCTGTATTTGGGGATAATGTAACTATTATTGCAGGCTTTTTAAACATGGCATTTTTTAAAATATGATCTGTCCATCTAAATCCAGGTAAAACTAAATTGTACAATATATGGATCTATTTTGCAGATTTCACATAATTCGTGTGTTTAGCTGATGGGAGAGCCCAAAGGCTACAAAGTCTCAAGCACAAAGAAAATCACTTACTAGGATTTTAAAATGGCCACAGAGCAAACTTGCCTTACCTGGCTTAGGAGCCATGTGTACTTTAACTGGATGGGATGGCTCACCAGAGCCCAACTTCTCCTCTATCTGTTGTGATTGAATTAATTCCTTAGGTTCTTCTTTCTTTGGGCTTTTTCCTTTCTTCTTCTCCCCACTCTCAAAGGTCTCTTTGAGGTCATCACTGAGTGTTTTAAGGTCACACTGTATATCCAATTTATTTATTAATGCAAAGTCACCTGCAACGCTCTCATCCATGGTGGGCTCCATGGGCTCATCTACAAATCAGAAGTCAAAGTCCATCAGCTAGGCAATCTGACACAGTTAAGATACACACAGGAAAAAAAAACAATACCCCTTCTTTCCCATGTGAAAGAAACTACTGTGTGTGCATAAAACCCATTCTCTTGGCTTCCAAAGTTAACAGAACTGTAGTTAAGACTGTGGCACCCAAACAAGGGTATGCACCCCAGTCCCTCTGCAAGTTGTGACCAAGCTCCCACCAATGGAACATAACCAAACTGATATGCTCAATTTGGCCTCACTTGCTTTTAAAGGAATTTTATAATCCTGAACTTTCACTCTTTATCCTACCCACTGGCTGGATTAGTGAAAACCAGAGTGACCTTGGAAATCACACACTGAAGGGAGTCCCACAACGGATGGGGGGAGGGAGGGGACAGAGCTGCAGGCTAACATGGAACACCCGTGCTGGACAGTTATATGAGGAAAGAAACAGACTTCGATTATTTTTTAGTCACTGCATTGTGGTGTCTTTCTGTTACGGCTGTTTACCCTTCCATTCTACATCACTCTTATGAATTAAGCTGCAGACAAAAATAATTTAGAAGCCTGTAACAAGTCAAATAAAGATCCAAATGTAAAAGCTATGTGTAAAGAAAGGCAACCATCAATTTATAAATGGAAGGCACCTCGAAGCTTATCTGAATATTAATTTTGAAACTCAGAACATGATTCCCAGCCACTGAGAAAAATGTTTGACTAACAAAACTTATTTAGTCTTCACGATTACATACAGACAGTACTAACCAGAGCTGCACCAAAATTCTGATGTTTCCAATGCCCGTTTACCCCTGAACCTCTAGACCCAAGCCTTCCCGCCTCTTTACTGCTCATAGTTCTGCCAAATCTGCTCCAGACTGTCCTGAATCTTGGTCTGTTAAGGACAGTAGAGGAGGACAAAGAACTTACCTGTCCTGCTGGCCACTCTATCACCAGTGCTTAAAACAGAGAGTGGCACACTGTGGGCACTGAAAACACGCTTGGGCGCTTGGGCCATATTAACAAGTTAAAACTGGGATGGGAGGCTCCCAGGATTAGGTATTTTCTATGGCAGAAGTGAGAAAGAGCTCTAAGGATAGGCAGCATTCCCAATTATTACACTTATGTATTAGGCACTGCCTGCATGAAAACTTTAAAAAGGAAAAGACAAGACACTGAAAAAACTGAAAAAGCAAAGTATCTGTAATGAAAGTTCACTAAATGTTTCTAATTATCTTGAAGGAAATTAACTCACAATTCAAAATTCATCACACAAATAAGAAAATTTCAGATACTATGATTTACTGAAGTAAAGGCTTCCTCCAACACAGAAAACCTGAGCTTTACACATCATTCAAAGCGACTGTGCAATCTTGTGTCAGGTGCACCCAAGCACCTGTTTCTCAGATGTAACACCACCTTCCACTTACTTCACAAGGTGCTATCAGGATCAAGTAAGGTAAGAGTTGTCGCAGTACTGTGAAAACTAAAGTTCCAATAAACTCCAAGACATCACAGTATCATCAAAACTGTCCTTCACCTTCTTCCGAGGCTAAACTTTCCCTGACAGACATTCCTCATGTCCTTGACTTTCGGGCCAGTGGTAACAGTGACAGCAAAGCAACACTAACAGCAACCCCCCCATCAGAGGAATAGCACTACCTGACCGCAGTTAAGGACCCATTCCCCTACTTAAGAAATAACAGAAAGGGACCACCTTGGAAATCTACATCAACTGCAGGTAAAGAGGTTTTAAAGCCCCAACTCATCTTACCCTCACAATTTCCTTTGGAAATTTCCCCTTTAGCCAGAAATTTCAACATTTTTTTCAAAACCTTCTTGTGAGATTTTGATGGCTGAAACTGTAAAGGTCGGCACCTAGGAAAGCAAAATAAATATTTAAAAAGTGAACTCAAACTAGAAGAAATAAAATGAGTTCTGGACAGTAAGGCAAAACTCATGCCTGGGATTTCTGGGTAAAGGCAGGGCTTGACACAGCCTCTAGTTCCACCTCAAATCTCACTAAAACTACCTTAAGGAATTAGAAAAAAGAAAAAGACATAAATTACTGAAAGAAAGAGAAGAGGAGAAATGCTGGAAGCAGCACAGAGCATGCACAAGTGGTAACTGACTTAGCAGCCAAAGAAGGTTGAATCCTAAGCCAAGAGTGGGAAAAGCCAGAATGATAACTAATTTTCTCTGCCTTACCCTTACAAATTTTAGGGACTGGCTGACACCTGATACCTCAGGAGATAAGCGTGAAGGGGGTCTGAAAATAGATCTCTTGAAAGTCTATTTTGGAAGCAGTTAGATGTCTGATGCCCTCCACCACTCCACACAGATGACTCCCCACACAACCCAGGAGAAAGTGGCACATTGAGTAAAAAATAGGGCCTCCCACATGAGGATGCAGGCACAGTGGAAAGCAATGGAAATGTACTAGCAACAGGAAGCTTAAATGAAAGTGTACCTACTGAATGCTGAGACCTCCACCCCATTCCCCAACTCAGCCACAAACGCGGGCACTTTCTCTCCAGAATGTGACCAGACCTCGAGATCCCTCAAGATCCAAGGATCCCCACCCATGGAAAGTCAGAATCGTCACTCAAGAAGAACCTCTCCAAAGACAAGTAACAGCAACACTGGAGAAGGTAACTTGGAGGACACCCAGGGAGAAGAGAGCCTAAAAATACAAACATCCTAAGAAGAACAAGCTCTTATTTCTCTTTAGCTATTACAGCTGCACAACAATGGGAGGTTATTTAAAAAAAAAAAAAAAAAAAAGAGAGAGAGAGAAAGAGAGAGAGAATCCAAAACCAAAAATCTCTCAGAAGTAAAAATATAATAGAGGAAATAAACAATTAAACAGCAAGGAAATTTTCCAAAAGATATAAAAAAGGGGATGGAAAACTGAAGAGAAAAAAAATAATTAGGGGCTCACTCTAAAAGTTCAATATCTCGGGCACCTGGGTGGCTCAGTCGGTTAAGCATCTGCCTTCTGCTCAGGTCAGGATCCCAGGATCCTGGGATTGAGTCTTGCATTGGGCTCCTCACTCAGCAAGGAGTCTGCTTCGCCCTCTGCCTGCTTCTCCCCCCTACTTGTATGCTCTCCCTGACAAGTAAATAAATAAAAATTGAATATCTGAATGAAGACATTATAAAAGAAGAGAAAAAAAAAAACGGTGGGGGGCGGGCGGGAAGAAGTTCAACAAAATAGTAAAAGAAAATTTCTGTGAAGTGAAGGATATGATAGGAGGGTAAGTAAGTAAGAAGGGCCCCTTAAATCTGTACGCAATGGATGCAAACAGACACATCATTAGATGTGAAATATCAGAACACTAGGGACAAAAAAACCTTCCAAAAAGAAAGAACATTTTGGACAAAGGAACAAGAATCAGAAGCAAAGCCTTCAAAATTCTAAAGCAAAATTATTTCCAATCTACACTTCTATGGCCTGGCCAAACTAGAAGTCTGAGTGGTGAATTAAAACATTTCAAACAGGGGCACCTGGGTGGCTCAGTTGGTTGAGCATCTGACTCTTGGTCTGGGTTCAGGTTATGATTTCAGGGTCATGAGATGGGGCCCTAAGTCGGGCTCTCTGTGCTGAGCATGGAGCCTACTTGGGATTCTCTCTCTCCCTCTCCCTCTGCCTCCACCCCCACTCCCCACTCCACCCCCAGCTCTTTCTCACTTAAAAAAGATTTTTTTCCAAACGTACAAAGTCTAAAAAAGGTACTTCTCATGTACTTTATCTCAAGAAAGCTATTGGAAGATGAGCGGCACTAAAACAAGGAAATAATCCAAGAGGTCAGAGGAGACAGAAAACATGAGATCCAAAGAGAATCCCCTAGATGGCAGTAAAAAGAGATCCTAGGGTGACAGTGATGCATCAGTTGGAAAGACAACCTGTCCAGATCATAGCAGGTCAGAAGACAGCACAAAGGTATCATCAAGAGGACACAAGTGATAGAGGACCGGAAGCATCTAAACATACCACAACTGTGGGAAGATTTTTAAAATCGACTGGTGATGGGTAGGTACACAGAAGACTATGCAAACAAAAAAAGACTATGGAAAGCAAAAACTTGTGAAGGAAAGAAAATGTAATCATAGTACACTGCATGGTTCGACCATACGGCACATTTACAGGCCGTAATACAGCAACTATACCATTCAATATTACGATCTTCTGAGCTGGGAAGTTAGCAATGAGGACAAAAAGGAGCTTGAATATGACAGGGGCAGGGAGGAAAAAAAATTAAATCTTTATCTTCCAAAGAGAGAAATTCAGAGATAATGAGAAAAAATAGAGTTGAATCCTTACCTTTTAAAAAGAGAAACCCAGAGATATGAGAAAAACCCAAAGGTAATGAGATAAGGTTTCTGTAATTATATAAGCACATCACTTAAAGGTAGAAAGAAGAAAAAAAAAAATCAGTTAAAAATTTGAGAGTACACTGGGAAACAGATAATAGGGAGGTTCAGGGGACTGCAATTTTGCAAAATAAGTTTATGGAATTGTTTGATTTTTAAATTACCAGCATATATAACTCTATATAAAAATAAAAACTAAAAAAAAAAAAAAAAAATTCATAGCCAAGGAAGCTCATCCTCACTTACACTCACATACAGCCCCTGACATCTAACAAGAAGCTATGCTGTAGGTTAGAATTGCCTTGCCTTCCCGTTAGGCCTCATTAGATCTACTGTCGTAAACAAAGTTAAAAAAAGAAAGAAAAAACAGAACAGTAAATGACTCCATAATATCAATACATACAATGAAGTTGTGTAAAGGATAGCAATTCAGGAAATGTTTGTGATTTCATGCAAAAAAAAAAAAAAAATCACGTTTTATAATTATTTTTGTTTTGCAATGTTAATTGAATTCCTTTTCATAAAAACAATACACCTGGAGCAGTGCTTTGCATTGAGACACACCCAATAAATTACAGAATCTTGGTCTTTTTCTTTAACCCACTGAAACAGACTTTTTTTTTTTTTAACCTTTTCTGATTAGAGATTCTCAGGGTTCTAGCAAATCAACTCCAGACTTATTTAAACAGAACCCTGGCCATAATCCAATAACAAATTGTTATTTGAAGGAAAAGGACTTCTGTCTTTGACGATGTCACTGCTTCATAAACATTAAAACTGCAAGAGGACATTTGGGGTGCCTGGGCGGCTCAGTGGGCTAAGCCTCTGCCTTTGGCTCAGGTCATTATCTCAGGGTCCTGGGATCGAGCCCCACATTGGCTCTCTGCTTGGCGGGGAGCCTGCTTCCCCCATCTCTCTCTGCCTACCTGTGATCTCTCTTTCTCTGTCAAATAAATAAATGAAATCTAAAAACAACAACAACAAAAACAAAACAAAAACCTGCAAGAGGACACCAGAGCTGTCCTGGGATAGTAAGTGAGATGACGTCAGTAAACCAGACACCCACCTTTTCTCTTTACTGCCCCAGTCCTATGACCAGTTAGATAAAAGAAAGGATTCTTAACCGGGAATTAGTGGAACTTTGTGAGCCCACTGGGAGCCCAAGATCATCCTAAAATTAGTATGCAAGATGTTATTATCTATTTTTATCTATACACCCCCTCCCTTTTGTTTGTTTTGCTGCAGAGAGGGTCTGTAACTTTTCATCCGATTGTCAAGTCTTTAATCCCAAAGCAAATTAAGAGCAACGAAGGGAAAGAGGTATGAGGACCAGCCAAAACGTGATGGATACAACCATGTTTGCTTTTTTATCTGGAGATTATTCACACTGAAACTGTAGACAATGCTTAACAATGCAACATCCTTTCCCTAGTTTGTACCAGAAGAAGAGGAAGGCAAGGAGCACAAGGGAGAAGAGGAAGATCTTTGTAACTTGAGAAGAATGGAAAATCCTTCCACGTCAGACTGGGGTCTGCTGGTTAAGCCATCACTTTGGAGGAAAAGAGACATTTTAGTTTAAGTTTTACAATGAAGAAACCTGGACTCTAAATGTGTGCAGCAGATTCAACGTCGGCCCCTCCCCCTCCTCTTCCGGCAGACCCCACAGCACTCCTGGAGTGTGACAGCTGCGTCCAGTCATACACCAGAATGTGGAAAGCCCCAAGCTAAGTTCTATAAAACACTTGATATCTAAAAGTAATTTGAGTATTTTCTAGTATTTTCTAATATTCTCACAATATGTCTGAAATCACTGACTAGATTGCTAAATAGTATACTTTTTCATATCCTATTTACACCCAAACTATTAAACAGTATTATTAAAAGCTACTGATGAAGTATAAATGTAGCATCAGTATGCAGAAAAGATACAACTTATTTGCTTTTCTTTATAAAGAGTCTAGCTGGAATGAAAATTAACATGTAAAAAAAGCAAGATGTCACTAAAGAATTATACATACTCTTCAAATTATATATAGATCCAGGGCACCTGGGTGGCTCAGTGCGTTAAAGCCTCTGCCTTCAGTTCAGATCATGATCCCAGGGTCCTGGGATTGAGTTCCGCATCGGGCTCTCTGCTCAGCAGGGAGACTGCTTCCTCCCCCCCCCAACCCCTGCCGCCTGCCTCTCTGCCTACTTGTGATCGCTGTCTGTCAAATAAATAAATAAAATCTTTAAAAAAAATTTATATATAGATCCTCTTTCTTACCTTATCGTGTACTGAGGACAACATGTTTGATTCATGACAGGCTTGTACACATATTTCCCACTTCTAAAATTAAAAAGTAGTTTTGTTAATGTCTTACACATTTCTCACTTGTACCAAAGAAGACTAGTATAGGAGCACAAAATTAATTTGAGTAAAAATCTAACCAATAACATAAAAACATTTAGATTTACTCTTCATAACCTAAATAATCTTGCAACATAGACATACCAAAGACAGAGTACAGCCTTTTCCTAAACCTTGATATATGGACTCCAAACTTCTTTACCTCAATTACCCTCTCAGCAGCACCTGCAATCCTTCCCTCAACCCACCATCAATCCTCTACCATAAAGGTAATCAAAGGAAAATCTACTCAAAGTAATAGATGACATCAAAGAATTACTGTGTAAAGTATGATAATGGTATCATAGATGCGTTAAAAAGGAAAAAAGAAACCTTTCATAGGAACATGTATTTATTACAGGTATACTAATAGGATACACAAAATTGCTTTAAATTATTTTGTGGGGGAGGAAGGAACATCTTAGTCAGTTCAAGCTGATGTAACAATATGCCACAGGCTGAGTGCTTATAAACAACATAAATGTATTCCTTGTAGTTTGGTTGGGAAGTTCAAGACCAAGGTGCTATCATATTCTATGTCTGGTAAAGATAAGCTTCCTGGTTCATATTTTTGTTGTAAGCTTACATGGCAGAAGAGGCAAGGGAGCTCTCTGGGTCTCTTTTACAAGGGCACTAATCCCATTTGCGAGGACTCCACCCTCTGACTTAATCACTTGGCCCACCTCCAAATACTATCAAATTGGGGGTTAGGACTGAGCCCATGTACTTGGAGAAGGTGGTGAGAATGACACTCACATTCACTCCACACAGGGAGCAAGGAGAATTGATGAAACAAGATTGGCAAAATGTCAACAACTGTTGAAGCCTGCGGATAGGACATGAGGTTCACTATACTGTACTCTCTACATTTATGTGTATTTGAAATTCTCCTAATAAACATCTTTAAAAGGAGAGAGGAAAGAATCACTACACAAAGAAATATAACAAAAAAATTTCTTAAACCTCTTTCCAAAAACAGGAAAACATTTTAAAGGCAAACAATATTTTGCAATTACAAGAAGAACCTGAGTAACAAGAGAAGTATCTTTGTATTAAAGAGCTTTACCTTCGCCATCCTCGATCTATAAGATCCTGATAATCCTGTACGGTCATGGAATGCGCCCACATGCCTGAAAAAGTAAGTGCCATGTGCCGTGTTAATTACAGCAAGTTCAACTTTTTAAAAATTTTTTAAATTCAAAATCTTTATTTCAAAATGTGAATACTGAAGCAAAAGAAAAAAATCTAGCTCACACTGGAGAAATGAAAGTCTGCACATACTTCATACTTAAGTTTGACATACAACACAAACGGAAAAGATATTTATCTTAATTTTATTCATTTATTTACTTATTTTTAAAGATTTTATTCATTAATTTGACACAGAGAGAGAAAGCAAGAGAGGAAACACAAGCAGGGGGAGTTGGGAGAGGGAGAGGCAGGCTTCCCCCGGACCCCTCCCCGAGCAGGGAGCCTGATGTGGGACTCAATCTCAGAACCCTGGGATTGTGACCTGAGATGAAGGCAGAGGCTTTAACCCACTGAGCCACCCAGTGGCTTTTATATTAAAAGATGAATTTTAAAATTTATCTTAATTTTAAAAATCAAACTTATCAAAGTGATTATATTTAATATAGGATTAGCCAATAGTCTCTATGACTTCATATATTTAAGGTCCTTACTGCAATCAGATTATATCACACTTTTAAACCATAATAACATCCCCAATAATTTAGTAAACTGGTCACTTCAGAAGAAGTGAAGAGGAAATGTTTTCTTAAGCATATAAATTTTCCTCATTTTTATGTTTTTAGCATAGCTTTGGATATTGAAAATAGAACAAAAATATAGAGCAAGATTCCTTTTAAATATAAAAACTGAAAGTAATTGAAATGCCCAGGAACAGAAAAATGATTACAGGGACTACGATATTATCCATATGATGGGATAATTATGCAACCATTAAAAAAATGAAGACAATGAGAAAACATTAAAAGATATATTTGAATTGATGTTAAAGGAAAAGTAAATTTTTCTCTTGTAAACAGCAAACTGCATCAGAGATATGTAGATAGAGGTAGGCTTGATAGTACAAAATATATTCAGAAACAGAAAGGAGCTTGGCAGGCGCTCACTGAGTTACTTTATGAGCCTCAAATTCATCATCTATAAAATAGGAATAATAAAACCTACCTACCTAATAGGTGGGTGCCCTACAGTAAAGATAATCAGAATTAAAACAAACATAATGGAAATTTACAGTTCTCTCTTTAGATGAAAAGGGTGAAAGCAGGTTTCTTCTACAGGACTTTAAACAAAGGACATCTATATTAATCAATTTCCTCTTACAAAATTACTGGGAAAATAATTAAGGATCTAAGAAAATATTCATTTTAGACACCTTTAATACAAAGTGCTTATCACACCATACTGTAGTCATAATACTAAAATTCTGAAAACAGGAGCAATCTCTAATACCCTAAGGCAACCACTGCCAGCTGGTGTGTTTCTCCTGGGTTTTTATCCTCCCAGAACTGTGATCATGTCACACACGTCATTTGCATCCTGTTTTTCTCCCTTTAACCCCACACTCTAAACATTTTTCTGCTTAGCTCATCTTCATAACCATCACTCCTAATAACTGCATTATATTAAGTTCTGCTCCCCCTTACCTACAAACATCTAACAAACAATTTCAGTTAATAAGTGGACATACTATACTCGTCCAAGTCATTCATATATATATATATATATATATATATATATATAATTTTTTTTTTTTTTTTAATGGAAACTACCTAAATTTGTATCTTCGTGGTTATCCCATTTTCCACAATGCTGGGCTATTCCTTAAAACAAAAATTTTTTTATCTGCCAATACGAGACAGGGCAGGAAATAAATACAATGTTTTGTTTACAAACAACAAGTCTTCCGAAAGACACTTGAACTGTGACGGGGTGGGGGGGGGGGACAAAACAACGAGTAAGCTGGCTTTGTTGTCGTTCTGGAGGTGGGTGGAGGAACGACAGGCATAGGAGCACCTGGTAAAATTTTCAGACACCTTAATACAAATAGGCTCCCTCGCAGCAGCGCCTTGGTGGGTCACCAGCATCTTGCACACGCTTCCAGACATTTTATCCCGATGCCCATGCCCACGTATGCACACACACACCTCTTCCTGCACAAACAGCCCACCCAACACGCCGCATTCTGCAATGAAAATCGGGGATGATCCCACTTCGGCATCAGCACTTGGGGGTCCGCCCCAGCGGAACTGACCGCACTGTCGTGCTCCCTGGCACGGCATGCTGTCACACATTTAACCGTCTCCTAAGGACTGAAGACGGACACCTGTTTCCACACTTTGGGCCACGGCGAGACAATCATCATCTAGCCCGTCCGAGCACCTGCGTGAAGGATAAGCACCTAGAGGCTTCCCTGATGAATCAGAGCTGAAGTTCATTTTTAATTGGCAGCCACGGCCCAAACCTGCGAGCCGCGTTCCGTACACCCGCCCAGGACGGGATCCGGCCGGAGGATCCGCGCGTCCCTCGAGCCGGTCGGCCCGGGTCAGGGCGCCGCGACCCCGGAGGACGCCCGCCGGCCGCGGAGCCCCGAGGCCCCGGCGCCCTCCGCCGCCCGCCGGCACTCTCACCATTGGAGCGACTGCCCGACTCATTCTTGCAATAGCCGCAGCGGTAGGAGTCCTCGCCCTCGAAATACTCCACGATGCTGGGCGAAAGAGCGGCCCAGGAAGCCATGGCCCCGGCCCTCCAAACGCGACGCGACCCAGCCCAGCCCCGCTGCCGCCGCCGCCGCCGCCACCCCACAATGCTCCGCGCCGCCCGGGAGTCCCCGAGGCGCGCGCGAAGCTGCTCGGGCGCCCGCAGGCCGGGTTCGCCAGGAGTCCCGCACGTTGACGCCGCCCGCGCCATCTTGACCGAGGGCAGCCTTCCGCTATTTCCGTTCCTTCTCTAACCCGGACCGCCATCTTCGGTGAGGGTGAAGAGGAGAGAGGGCTGTGAAGGGAAATAGTCTGAGAAAAAACATCTGGGAGAGGGGAATGTGAGTTTGGGGAGCCGGCCCTGTGCGCTCCCAGGCGAGGGGCAGGCGAGGGGCTGGCGCGGGGCTCGGCGGGCGGTGCTAGAGTCGGACGTCGGCGGCCGCGCCAGCCCTGCCCCTTGGGACACTCACCGCAGGACACCTTGCCCTCCTCGGAGCCGCAGTAGCCGCAGTGGTAGCTGGCCTTGAGCCCTTTGTATTCCACCACCGAGGCCATGGCCGCCTCCAGGGTCCGCCAGGGCCGGCCACGCCTCTCCGCGCCCTGGGGCCGACCTCGGCTGAGCGCGGGGGCCCGCGGCGGGGAGGGGAGGAGAACTGAAGCCTGGCGGGTGCGTCCCAGCTCCCGTACCGGAGCTTCTACGCCTCCTCGGGGCTCCGGTCTCTGCGGGTGCCGGGGCTTGCGGAGACTTTAGCGAGAGTGGTATTCGTGCCCCCCGGGCCCCGAATTAGGGCCAACCCTTTGCATAATTCCTCGTCAAGCAGTCGCCAAGCATCACTCATCGTCAGCGCCGTTTTACAGATGAGGAAACTGAGGCACGGAGGTTGTGAGTCAGTCATTTCCCGCAGGGCTCAGTATAAAAGTTACTATCTCGGGCGGTCCCTGACAACCATGTGGGGGGCCAGCTCGGGTTTCTTCCAAACCAGCACGTCCACTCTTACGTGCCATGTGCAGGTACACGTGCAGGTGTTCTGTGAGTGGCCGGCATAGATGAATTGAACACTTGATGGTTTTAAAGCAAACAACTTTTGGAGCCAGTAGCCGCCTTCTGACGCTATAAGCCTATTGCCGCCACATCTTACGGCTTTAAAGAGAAGATCTCGATTTTTTAATGTTCCAATATTTGTAAATGTTATTTTTTTTTAAATTGTAATGCAAGCAAAACAAAACATTTATGTAGGTTGAATTCAGCCTGTGGACTTCCCTATTTTAAAAAGGTATTTATTTGACAGAGAGAGATCACAAGTAGGCAGAGAAAGGAGGAAGCAGGCTCCCTGCTGAGAAGAGAGCTGGATGTGGGGCTCCATCCCAGGACCCTGGGATCATGACCTGAGCTGAAGGCAGAGGCTTTAACCCACTGAGCCACCCAGGCACCCCTTAAAGATGTTTTTTGTTTTTTTTTTTTTTTTAAGGAAGTAATAGTCTGGAGCAAAGTATAAAAATGAGTACTGCCAACAAGGTAATATTCCTTAATCTTAGTGCATAGGTAATTTAAGGTTGTCTTTATATTTTTTGTCAACAAGCTGATTATCTTTTTGTAGTGTTTTGAAAAATGAAATCACGAACCTTGGAGAAACAAGTAAACTTTGAGGTCAGTTTTATCATTCTTGACTGCAAGGTGCACTATGTTGGATATATGCGTTCTTAAGTTGAAGGGATTTCTTGGTAGCTGCATGACCTGTTATATTACTAAGGATCACTTGTGCCTCACACAACGGGAAGAACCTCAGGGACAGCTGTAGCATGTAGGAGGCTCTCAGGGCCCCTCTCGGTTTCTCCAGTACCTCCTGAAACTTGAAGTTTGGGTACATATCAGTACCCATTAAGACAGACTTCATTCATTTTGTCCATTATGGCAGATTTGAGTATTCCTGGTCCTTTTCCAGGCAGACTCTTGTTCTGGAAGAAAGTAAAGGCTTGTGGAATAAACAAAGACAGCAGATGCCATCCTCAGAAAGTAGGAAGCCAGGAGGCTTTTTGTTTTTTCTTAGTGTAGTCCTTTACCAATTCACTTATGTCCCGTTGTCCCAACCTTATCCCAAGCCTTAGACCAACCTCTGCCAGGGAATGCCAATCGAGAGCTATAAGCCAATGCCCTAGGCATACGTGTTAACTCATTTAATCCTTACAGTAACTTCACAACATAGGAAATGAAGACTAGAGAGGCTAAATAACCTGATCAAGACCACACAGCTAGTAAGAGACATAAGACAGTTGTGTGTGGAGGTCAGGAAGAGATCAAAGATAGAGGCAGGTCACTCCAGGTTGGCAGGTGGCAGGTTTTTTGTTTGTTTTTAAGATTTATTTATTTTAGAGAGAGTGCGCATGTTGTGAACACAAGTGGGAAAGGGGAAGGGGCAGAGGGAGAGAATATCCAAGCAGATTCCCACTGAGTGTGGAGCCCAATGTGGGGCTCCGTCTCATAAGCCATAAAATCAGCACCCGAGCCAAAGCCAAGAGTACGATGCTTAACCAACTGAGCCAGCCAGGTACCGCCACAGGTGGAAGTCAGTAAGCAAAGGGAACTTGCGAATGAGGCTTGCACTGGGCAGCAGCAAGATGAATGGATCCCCACACCACCACACTAACCATGGCTATTGAGCACTTAAATCTTAAAAGTTTGTATAGAGGGACTCCTGGGTGGCTCAGTTGTTCGGGTGTCTGCTTTTGGCTCAGGTCATGATGCTGGGGTCCTGGGATGGAGCCCTGCATCAGGCTCCCTGCTCAGTGGGGAGCCTACTTCTCCCACTCCTTCCTGTTCCTGTTCTCTCTCACTATGTCTGTCTCCCTCTCTCTCAAATAAATCTTTTAAAAAAAAGTTTGCATAGAGAGAGGCCTTAACTGGGTTCAGTCATGTGCCCTGTGCAGGTGTTCTCACCATCACATCATTATCTCAAAGCAATATCCTTGCAGCAACCTCTGGGAGAGCAAAAAGCAAGTGGGACCCACATTCTAAGGACAGGGGAGGAGGCAAGGAACCTCTGATCACCTGGGTCCAGCTCATTTATGGGTTAACTGATGGTCATGTCTTTTCAATGACCTTCCACAAGAGAGGTGGAAAAATAAAGGTGATAAAAATAAAATTATGAAAAAGAGATCAACAAGGACTATAGGGCAGTGGTTTCTAGATGTCTTTATTTTGCTGAAAGTTAGAGACAAGTTTTCATCTTGCAGGCCTAAATGAGAAAAATAAAGCAAAGCTTTAGTTCCCTCTTTTGCAGACAGACATGGGAAAAGGACATTATTAGAATGTTCTTTTATAGAAAGAACAAGAACCATATGATACTCTCAATAGATGCTGAAAAAGCATTTGACAATGCATCCTTTCTTGATCAAAACTATTCAAAGTGTAGGGATAGAGGGTACATACCTCAATATCATCAAAGCCATCTATGAAAAACCCACAGCGAATATCATTCTCAATGGGGAAAAACAGAGCTTCTCCGCTAAGATCAGGAACACAGCAGGGATGTCCATTATCACCACTCCTATTCAACATAGTACTAGAAGTCCTAGCCTCAACAATCAGACAACGAAAAGAAATTAAAGGTGTTAGTATCGGCAAAGAAGAAGTCAAACTCTCACTCTTTGCAGATGTTATGATACCTTATCTGGAAAACCCAAAAAACTCCACTCCAAAACTGCTGGAACTCATACAGGAATTCCGTAAAGTGTCAGGTTATAAAATCAATGCACAGAAATCAGTTGCATTTCTATATACCCAACAGCAAGACAAAAGAAACAGAAATTAAGGAGTCAGTCCCACTTATAATTGCACCCAAAACCATAAGATACCTAGGAATAAACCTAACCAAAGAGGCAAAGAATCTGTACTCAGAAACTATAAAGTACTCATGAAAGAATTTGAGGAAGACAAAAATGGAAAAACGTTCCATGCTCCTGGATTCGAAGAGCAAATATTGTGAAAATATCTATGCTACCTAAAGCAATTTACACATTTAACACAGTCCCTATTAAAATACCATCAATTTTTTCAAAGAAATGGAACAAATAATCCTATAATTTATGTGGAACCAGAAAAGACCTTGAATAGACAGAGGAATGTCGAAAAAGATAGTCAAAGCTGATGGCAATACACAATTCCAGACTTCAAGCTCTATTACAAAGCTGTCATCATCAAGACAGTATGGTCCTGGCACAAAAACAGACACACAGATCAATGGAACAGAATAGAGCGCCCAGAAATAGACCCTCAACTCTATGGTCAACTAATCTTCGACAAAGCAGGAAAGAATGTCCAATGGAAAAAAGACAGCCTCTTCAACAAATGGTGTTGGGAAAATTGGACAGCCACATGCAGAAAAATGAAACTGGACCATTTCCTTACACCACACACAAAAATAGACTCAAAATGGATGAACAACCTCAATGTGAGACAGGAATCCATCGAAATCCTTGAGGAGAACACAGGCAGCAACCTCTTCGACCTCAGCCACAGCAACTGCTTCCAGTTTCTGCTTTCCAGAAACATCACCAAAGGCAAGGGAAGCTAGGGCAAAAATGAACTATTGGGACTTCATCAAGATCAAAAGCTTTTGCACAGCAAAATAAACAGGCAACAAAACCAAAAGATAACCGACAGAATGGGAGAAGATACTCGCAAATGACATATCAGATAAAGGTCTAGTATCCAAAATCTATAAGGAACTTATCAGATTCAACACCCAAAGAACAAATAATCCAATCAAGAAATGGGCAGAGGACATGAACAGACATTTCTGCAGAGAAGACATCCAGATGGCCAACAGACACATGAAAAAGTGCTCTATATCACTCGGCATCAGGGAAATGCAAATCAAAACCACAATGAGATCCCACCTCACACTAGTCAGAATGGCTAACATTAACAAGTCAGGAAATGACCGATGTTGGTGAGGATGCGGAGAAAGGGGAAGCTTCCTACACTGTTGGTGGGAATGCAAGCTGGTGCAGCCACTCTGGAAAACAGTATGGAGGTTCCTCAAAAAGTTGAAAATAGAGCTACCCTATGACCCAGCAATCACACTACTGGGTATTTACCCTAAAGATACAAACGTAGTGATCCGAAGGGGCATGTGTATCGAATGTTTATAGAGCAATATCCACAACAGCCAAACTATGGAAAGAACCTAGATATCCATCAACAGTTGAATGGATAAAGAAGATGTGGTCTATATATACAATGGAATACTATGCAGTCATCAAAATAAATTAAATCTAGGAAGGAGGTGTGTCATGAACAGAGACAGGGAGGTGGATAGGAACACCAGGGGTTTCAGGTGCTGGTGATGGTAGAGTCCTAGAAGATGCTTTCCTTGTGGGCCATTCACTGCCAAGAGGCTCTTGGAGGACTTCTCTCTCCACCATGTAAATATGCACTCTCCAACTTAGTAGTGCAAAAATTAACAACAACCTCATTTAGAATGGGGGTGGGGCAGCTCTCAAGCCCTACTACTTAACATTAATTGCAGACCCAATAGGAAGAAACATCTTGCAGGGTGGATACACTTTACTATCCAGGAGGACAAAGAAAGTTCCTCCTCTTCCCCTGGCAACAACCCA